GGGGTGTAAACCAACACATGTACAGTGATTTAGTGATTTGGTGATTTGCATCGCTCTCAGGATTTCTATTTTCGCGTATGTGACAGTTGAAACCATTACTTGACCTGTGGGTCTTGACATGGCCATAACATTATAGTGTTGTGCGCGACACGAAGTGATGTGCTTTATAATAATTATGTGAGGCATCGTGGTGGAATCTTCTGGCACACGTCAATATAATGACATCGAAGAAACAGGCATTTTTTCTCCAGTTTGGCAATTTTTTTCAAATTTTGTTTTTTGGCTCAGCATCTTTTATGTACATATAAAAACACATTTCCATGTGAATCTTACAGAAAAACGTTTATTAATGGCACAAATATGTAAATTTTCAGTTTTCAGTGACTCAAGCTATAGAAGTTACCAAACTTTGGGAGTCCTTTTCTTGATGATTTTCCCTTTGAAACCAGGCTACCCTCTCCTCCTTCAATGGCAAATATCTCGACTTCTATTCAAGCTAAATGGGTATTTCTTTCATCCAATACAAGAGGAATGACCAAGCTTTAAATGATACCAATAACTCCACAAGCCCCAAAATTGACGAGAGCCTGATTTCACCGCGTCGTGACATATATGATATTACTATCTCGTGAAAAACTGTTTACACCCACCCCCCCACCCCAAACCCACAGGTGTACTATGAAAGGGTCGACTCCACCACTGCTGGGGCGGCCTTCAACTTCGCCCAGTGCGGGGTCAAGGACATCTCTCGACCTCTGTGTGACCTTGAGAAGTTCCCGGCCATCAAGATCAAAGTCAGCAAGGGTTTCTCCTTCTCCAACCTGGACACAGAGTACGAGTTTGAGGAACAGAGGGCCCAGTTTTTTCAGGTGAGGGGCTTATTGTGTGTGTGTGTGTGTGTGTGTGTGTGTGTGTGTACGAGTTTGAGGAACAGAGGGCGCAGTATTATCTGATGAGGGGCATATTGTGTGTGTGTGTGTGTGTGTGTGTGTGTGTGTGTGTGTGTATGTGTGTGTGTGTGTGTGTGTGCGCGCGTGTGTGTGTATGAGTAAATGTGTGTGTGTTCGTGTGTGTAAGTGTGTGCATCTCTGTATTTGTGTGAATGTGTGCGCAAGGGTGGGGGGATGCTTTCCCAAATTCACATTGTATTCCTTAATTTAGTTAGTTGAACATTGCCGTGGCTGTATCCATCTCATTGAACAAGGGTGACAGGAATGATATGTGGAGAACTTTTGAGGGAAACGAACACTATTCCAAACCAAATGTAATTGTCTCTTCCTACTATCTTTTTGAACACGCACATGCCAGTCATTCCGCTACTTTAGAAAAGCAAAGTTCTTTCTGAAAGTTTGGGCCGTTTTGAGATGCTAAGACCATGAGGTTAGCTACCAAAAATTCTCTCTGTTCTATCAAAATCGTTAGATTATTCGTAGTCGTTATCAGGAAATTCAAATAACTGCATTCGGTAACGTTTGACATGTCGGGAAACTAAACTTGTTGTACGTCAAGATTTTCAAACCAAGGTACTGATGAAATAGAACTTTGTAGATCTAGGGTAGTGATCAAATAAAAGAGTCGCAGAAGATTATCATGTTCATTTTAATACATGTAGCTTCTTCCATTGAAAGTTCTACGATTCCTATGAACGTAAGCTCTACGATTCCATTGAAAGTTCTACAAGAGGGTGGGCAGAGAACTGTGCCATCTTCATTTTGATGATTTGTTCCTGACAAAGTTGTACAATTTCTCCCCCCCCCCTTCCTCCCCCTCCCCTCAGGAGTACGAGACCAAAGACGACTACATGGAGGGGCGGGAGGGGATGGACCTGATGGGCATCAACTTCCGGGAGTACATGGTGGCCTTCCGTGACCCCAACAACCTGCCGTGGTACGTGAGTCACCTCGTCTTCTGGCTAGCCTCCCTTGTCCTGCTCTCCTGGCCGCTGAGGGCCATCATAGAGTACAAGACTGCTCACCTGCACTACCACGTGCACAAACTCTTCGGCAGTAACTACGTCACGGATGACGCGCAGTGCACGGGCCTGATGACGCGCGTGAGCACGATGAACAGCGACGACCTAGAAATGAGCATACGAAACAACAACGTGGTGGCTCCCAGCTACTCGGAGGTCATGCTGGCCGACACCACAACGACGCGGCGAGGAGATTACGGCGCCATCAAAAGCGCCAAGTTCCCGCGTAGTTTGACCAACGTGACTCTCGCCAGAGGGACTTCCATCGTCCGTAGGTCGGGGACACCGACCGTGACCATGAACAGGGTCAAGACTTTCCGGAGCTGTACGGCCTTCGGAAAATCCGACTCCACCGAGTCGTCCTTGAACTCTGTGAGGTCACAGGTGCAACAGCTGCTGCAGCAACATGGCGGCAGGGAGCGTCTGCACAGACGTCGGCGAGTCCTGTCCTCGGTCAGCGTGCCAGGTCTGTCTATGGCCGCCGGCGCCGGGACCCGCTCAAACCTGGGGACGCCGCCCGATGACGTCAGACTGACGCCCGATGACGCAGGGATCACGCCGAGCTTCTCCTGTCACTCCGTCGGTTCCTCGCAGACGACTAGCGCGTGTGAACCGATGACTGAGCCGATGAGTGAGCCGATGAGTGAGCCCATGAGTGAGCCCATCACTTCCGCCGTGCGCCGACCCGTGGCCTATTTCAGCAGGAGCGGGGAACTGCTCAGAGGGGGCTTCTCCACGAGCCAACAGCAGCTGTCCAACAGCCACA